TCTTTGTATTCCATATACAAGCGAAATCACACTGTACTTGTCTTTCTCCTTCTGATTATTTTCCTTAGCATTATCCTCTCCAATTTCATCCATGTAGTTGCAAATGGCAAGAGTTCGTATTTTTTAATTGATGAGTAGTATTCCAGTGTGAGCATGCACGTCCTTGTGTGTGTGTGTATGTGTGTGTGTGTGTGTCTGTCTGTCACATTTTTCTGATCCACTCCTCTGTCCTTGGACACTTAGATTATTTCCATAACTTGCCTATTGTAAAGAGGGATGCGGTGACATTGGAGGGCATATACCCCTTCAATTTTTTTTTCATTATCTAGGTTGATACCTAGGAGTTGAATTGTTGGATCATATGGTAGAACTTAATTTTAATGATTTGAGAAATCTCCATGATGTTTCCATAGGAGCTAGACCAGTCTACATTCCCAATAACACTGTACAAGTATTCCACTTTCTCCACCACTCCTTGCCAACACTTGTTGTTTCAGATCTTTTTTGATACGGAGCAATTCTCACAGATGTGAGATGATAGCTCATTGTGGTTTTAATTTACATTTCCCTGAAGATAAGTGATGATATATATTTTTTCATGTGCCTTTGGCCATCTATATGTTTTCTTTGGAGAAATGTCTTATTTAGCTCTTCTGCTAACTTTTTGATTGGGTTAATTGTTTTCTTTTTGTTGAATTGCATGCATTCTTTATATATTTTGGATATAAGCTCTTTGTCATATATATGATATATACATATCAAATCACTCTTTCTAAAACTTTAACAAAATTTGGGGATTCATTTTTCTTAATTTATATAAATTGTATCTACCTGAGAATCACCAAGAAGCAAGAAAATGAAAGACTTCCATTTAATACAGGCATATCTTCTTATTATTTTTATTGCTGTTGTTGTTCTGTACTTCCTTCAGTTTCTCTCTGAACATTTTATTTCCTTGTTATAGATTTAATATTTTTATCTTCTCTTAGGTTTTTCTTTTTAAACTGCTTATTTCTCTAGCATGTTACTTCTTTCCTATCCCATTATTTAAGTTATTTATTTTATCAAAGTAATGTTGGCTTACACACAGTATAGGTTTTAGGAATATAAGTTTACACCACTTCAAATGTGTGTTATCACACCATGCCAAACACCATAATCTTCACTAGGTTCCAAAGGCCCCCGCCACACACTGGCTATCTCTGGTAGTCTCAGTTCTGCAGTCAGATTTCTAGGGTTTATTTTATTGTATTTGTCTGTTCTTTTCATTTACATTTTTATATTATAGATATGAGTGAAATAAACTGTCATTTGTGTTTATCTCTTTTCATATGAAACTTTAAAATTTTGTTAATTTTTTTAATTTACTGAGGTAACATTGATTTATACCACTGTATGTTTCAGGTGTGTAAGCACACACCTCTATAATTGAATATTATCAAACCACCCACAACATTAATCTTTCACTTCCCTTTGTTCCCACTTCCACCTCATACTCTGTTCTAGTAAATTCAGTTCTGCAGTCAGATGTCAAGGATTTTTTTTTTTAATTTTGTCTGTTATTTACAATTGGGCATAAATATCTGTTCTATTATCAGAATGTTACCCTAGGAAGCTATTTAATTTCTTTTTCACTGTATTATCTTTTATTGAGGTAATATTGGTTAATATTGGTCCTGATATAGCAAATGACAAAAATTAACCATTTTTTAAATATCTGAGTATTATTCCATTGTGTGTATATACCACATCTTTATTCATTCATCTGTCCTTGACATTGCAACTATTATCATAATCTGACTGTTGTAAATAGTACTGCAGTGAACGTAGGAGTGCCTATACACCTTTAAATTAATGTTTTTGCATTCTTCCAGTAGATACCTAGGAGTAGAATTTATGAATAACATGGTAGATCTGTTTTTAAAATTTTGAGAAACCTTCATACTGTTTTCCATGAAGTTTGGACTAGTCTTCATTTCTAGTCTTCATTTCCATCAAGTGCAAGATAATTTCTTTCACTCTACATCCTCACCAACATTTGTAGTTTCCGGGATTTTTTTTTTCATATGGATATATGATTATATTTTATTGTGGTTTTGATTTGCATAAGTTATGGGGAGCCTCTGTATGCCTTCTGTGGAGAAGCATCTATTAACACTTCTGCTGTGCATTTACAGTACTGTAACAACTGCTACCTCAGTAAATATAATTCAAAAATAAAAAAAATTAAATGTTTTCTTTCTTTTCTCAGTGTTTTTAATAATTATAAATTCCTGAGTTATATTTATCAAAAGCTGCACTGAGAATAGTTAGCAATGTACTAATGAGTAGGGTAAAGTAAGAAACAATGATTTGGAAACTATAGTAACTACATAAATTATACATGATAATAAACTGATGATTCTGCTAAAACACTCAAAGTTTCATAAAGTGTACGTGGTGTATGACACACATGCACCACATAGGTGTACATGGGACAAAAAGCTGCTCTTAATGTTTGCGATTTTTCAAGTGCTTCTGACTTCCATTCATGATGAGAAGGTATTGTTATAAAGAAATCATTTTTAAAAAACATAATATGGGCCTCCCCAGTGGCTTAGTGGGTTGAGCGCTGTGCTGTGAAGCTGTCCGCAGCCTCTGCAGTGCTGGTTCAATTCCCGGCCTTCCGGGGAGAAACCCACATGGTGTGGCAGACCTCTCCTGCCTCACCCGCTGCTCCCCTCAGCAGTGTCTTTGGTCTGTCTGTCTGTTCTGCTCCCCGCTCTGTCTCTGGTGAATCATCTCACCCTCCCATGCCTCTGATCTGTACCCCAATTCTTGTATAAATAAAAATAAATCTTAAAAAAAAAACATAATACATGTGTAAGAGTTAATGATAGAAAAGAACATCTGAATATAACCCTGTATGTCATAAAACAAGTCTTCTTTCTTACTATACATATGCATAACATCCTAACAAAGTGCTGCCTGCCAAGTTAATGCATGACTTTGCATGTTCCAACTCTTCGTTTCCCAAATAATCTACTTGAAAAGCTAAGATTAAGAAAAAAAATTTTCATCCTGTTAAACCGACCTGATGCTTTTGCTGTAATCCTTCCATCTCTGTGTCCTGAATACTTTCCTGCCTATGAGACATTCAGGGAAGGCAGGAAATGGTAAATTGTAAAGGAAGATTTATCTTGACTCTTTATTCCAGTGTTTCTCAACTGTAGAATGCATTGGAATCACCTGGGAAATTGTTAAAACATAGATCATAGCCCCACTCCAGAGTTTCTTCAATTATCAGGTCCGTGCAGGAGCCTAGACATTGTACCTTAAAATTTCCCAGGTGAGGGCCTCCCGGTGGTGCAGCGAGTTGCGTGCAGCACTGTGAAGCTGTCCATCAGCCTCTGCAGCGCAGGTTTGATTCCTGGCTGGCCAGGGACATACCCACATGGTGCGGCAGACCTCTGCTGCTCCTCTGAACTGTGTTTTTGGTGTTCTGCTTCCCGCTCTGTCTCTGATGAATGCTCTCACCCTCCCGTGCCTCTGGCCTGTACCCCAGCTCTTGTATAAATAAATAAATCTTAAAAAAAAAGTTCCCAGGTGATACTGATACTGCTGATAGAGAAAGCCCTGTTTGAGAACCATTTCTTCACTCTCTAGTTAGCCTGGTGAGTAGAGTTAGATTCTAGTTGCCAGATAAAGTTTTTAATACATCATATAAGGAGGAACCTTGATAAAATTTTGCATCATTTAATGATATATTTGTACAAATTATTTTGAATTTAGACTATAAGAAACTTATAGTTTGGGTTTAGCAAAAGAAAAATAACACTTTGCACTACCTACTGCAGTGCTCAAATAAGCACAATTTTCCCCAAGCTGCAGATAGTTTTCTTCCACTAAATAAAGCAAAAATTACACACATCATTCTGTAATGCAATGGAGAAAAAAAATATCAAAATAAGAACCTTGGACTTGAATAGAAATTCATTAATTTGGCTCAATTCCCTGAAGAAAAGAAATGCAAAATTCAATCTAACAATGGACACTGACTCAAATCAGTGCCAAATGTATTTTCTATGAAGTAGAGATACTTTAGTATTATTGTCACAGCCACGTTGCCTTGGGGAGCATAATTAACAGGTGCTAAAGGTACAGTTTCATTGGTACATGATTTCACTTGGGAAGAAACTCAGCAAAACCCCCAACACTTATTTTCTCGTGTTAGATACACAGACTTCAAAGAATAAATTTGTACATTATAAGTCTGCAAATGACAGGCATATATTACTTGATGTATTCAATATATTTTAATACATCTTCCCTCTAAGTTGTTTTCCCCAATGAAAAATTGTATTGGTATTTAAAATACTACTTGTCTTAGAAAATGGGAAGTGATTTTTGGCAGAGTACATTTATTTTGTGAGAATTTTCTTTTTTTATATTTCACTGATTTCACAGGTTGACTCCTAGAGAGCTGTTCTGTAATAGTACAATTTACTTATATTCAGTTTGAGTATATATCTTAAAAATCTGGGAACTCATTTAAATGGCACTATTGCTTAACCAGATACTCTTTCAGCAAGAAGCCTGGAGTTCTCCCTTATTTAAAAACAGACACCAGTTGGAAATCGCATTGTTAAACAATCAGCCTTTATGGCAATCCACTTTTTAAACTGCTGTAGCTTCTAATACAGCTGATTTTAAAGTGCCCTCAATTATGCAGGCAGTTTAAATCCACTCGTTTACATAGTTCCTCCAAACTACCATCCATTTTTGCCTGAAAAGAAACCTGAATAATTTTATTTTTTCCAAGCAGAATTAGCGTCCTCCACTCCGACACCAGCGTGGGAGCACATTGCCCTCCAGATGGGGGTGGAGCCGCTTACTCTGCAATCATCGCAAACCATCATGCTTCAGTACCCAGAGAAATGGATGTCAGTCACATCATTGCCCAGCACTGGAAAAAATGAGTCAGTTGCAACGTTTAACTCTCTCTTTTTGCTTCTGTTTAGCACAAGATCAGCATCCCTTGATACACAGCAACCAGGCGGAGAGTCAAGATGCCGCTGGCAGAGGGGCAGCCCAGCAGAAGCAGCAGCAACAGCAGCAAGAAGACTGTGGTGACCCAGGTCACAGATGATAATTACCATCATCCTTAACACAATTATTCTCAGCTCTATTTATGACAACTTCCAAACAAGAAATCACTGCTCTGTCAAATGTTTCATGGTGCAAATGAACATGGTGACATATTGGAGCTGCATGTTGGGAGAATCTGGGTGAATTGTGTGTAGGTTCTCAGTCGAAAGGAGCTTGTACAGTTAGTAAAGAAGAGCAAAAGTGCTCTCCTACCAGGTTGCAGGGAAATCATAGGTTTCCAAAATAAAATCAAACTTTTATTGTCCAAAGAGTACAATCATGGAAAAATGTTGACATGGAAGGAATGACTTATTTTCAAGGGAGCTAAAAAAGACTGTTCTGTTGGCTGACCTGAGTTCAGTAAGGGATGCTGATCACTGACTCAGGCAAAGAATTGTAACTAAGACTCCACAAGAATTGCATATTGAACCTAATGTCACATGTCACTTATTTTCTAATTTTTATAATCATAAATATGATTTCTTTTAATCTTAAATTTATCTCTTATAAACAAAAGGGTGGTTATTGCTAAAAAAATCTCACTTTGTTTAGCATATATCTAGTCATTCGAAAAAAAGCATCAAGTTGAGAAATGTGACTTTAAGGAATCTCTTTAAAAATGTAGGTGAACATATCTTAGAAAATGCAATTATTTTAAGGGATTGGAAATCAGTGTCTTCATAAATTATCATAAAACCCTCCTTGAATTATTAGCATGCACAGGTAAAAGTATGGAAACTATCATTGGTATAGAAAGTATTACAAGCTAAATTCTTATTCTCTCTATCTCTCATGAAAGTATATCTCAGGAGGTTGCCGGAAGGGAGGAAGACAGGGAGCACATGGGGGAGGGGCCCAAAGGACCATGGTGGAGGATTATGGGTGCCTTGGTGGTGGGTATAGTGTGGTAACATACATCTGACAAGATGTTTACCTATACTTCCAAGTCACATAAAGTATTATAAAACCAGATTACATCAATATATTCTCAGAGTATAGATATAACTACAGGCATATATAATTACATATATTTATACATATAGTTGTACATATATAAATATGTATATAGTTATACATATTTAATGCTGGAGCATTAGATTCAAAAGCAGGTTATCCATTAGCTCTGTAACCTTAAAAAATCATTTTGGTTTTCTGACCTTCAGATGACTATTGATTATAACAATAACACTTTGAGGTTAAAACACAAAAGGCTGAATTTTGGGGGAAAAGATCAGCCATTTGGGAAACCTATGATATTATAGTATTTTCCACCCAAATGTTCACCCCTAAATAGTGTAGAATTCAAGCTGTCATTTGCTTCGTGAGTAGTCTGTATTTTCAAATATATAGTATAAATATGGTTTATCTTTAAATCTATTGTTGAATTGAGTGGTTCTAAATAGATATTTTTTAAATGTTTTCAATTTTCTCTTCCACATGCAGCAGTGACACAAAAAATTACTGACCAGATGAGCCACCAGGCGATAAAATTGACTCTTCTGCAGAAGAAGATTGACAATATTTCTTTGGCTGTGAATGATGTAAGGAACACATACTCCTCCTTAGAGGAAAAAATCAATGAAGATAAAGGCAGGGAATTTCAATCTTTTCTAAAAGGTAAAAGTACAATAAATTTTTCATTCAGTTAAGACACAAGGCAAATGACTCATTTATCTTTTTGCACTTTATTCTGGGATCACTGCTTTACAAAAGTGGCATAAAGGTGAAGAGATATTTTTTAAGTATCTTTTAATTATTTAATTTATGAAAGAATTTGAAACATCTAAATATTTGTGACTATACAGTCACATATTTAACTAATATTTCAACTGATTTATTGATGTTAGTTACCTCCTAACTTGTTACTTCTTTATAAAGTGAGCTATACTTAATGTAGCTCCATTGTGGATTCCAGTTCAAGAATAAAATGAGGTTAAGAGATGATTATCTTGGCAGTTAGATTCTTGGTTAGTCTCAATAATATTGATGGAGATACTGAAGTTAAATATAAAGTGCACAATTATCACAGAAATTATCTAGCTCAAAGAGTATAATCAATAAAACATATCCTGTATTACCTCAAATCAAAGAAATAAAAATTTCTTTGTAAATGTGAATCAGTCTTGCCTAAATTTCATTCTCTTAAAACAGTAAAGTTTCTTCCAAAGATTTTCCAGGATAGTCCTTTTTTGCTGAATTGAAGTTGTCAGAATTCATTTATTTGTAGTTGTGGGACAGAAGTCACATTTTCTTGGTGTCTATAAACTAGGACTTGGCAGTTGACCTTCTTCTACCACATAGGAGTCCTCATGGCTTCTGATACACCCCCCCACTTCTGACTTCCTATTTTAAAGACTTGTCATTGCTTTGAGATTTTGGATCATCCCCTTATATTTAATCATATCTGCCAAGTCCTTTTCACCATGCGAGGTAACATACTCATAGGTTCAGAGAATTAGGGGGATGTGAATATCTTGTGGAGGGGCAGCATCCTACTACATCCACAGAGACTTACATATAGTCAGTATTTGCAACAGTAATGCCATGCATAGGATACAAAGAGACCATGTGATAGTTTCAATAAATCCAGTCTAAGAATCCCAGGGAAAATTCTAGAAGAAAAACATCACAGATGATAAGTGAGGATCAGAAGTAGTTAATCAGACAAAGCAGTTTCCATATCATCACCAGTACAGCAGCAACCATGTTTTTTTTTTAAACTTGTAAATAATTGGTGTTATTAAGCTACTGAAAAGACCTTTTCCTAATACAGCATGTCCCCTGTGACCAAAACTCACTGATGGAAAGCATGAGAGAAGAACATATTCTCCCTGAAATGATAGCTTGAGAAAGTAGTCAAATAGAAACTGTGTTTAATTGACTATCACCACTGTAGTGGGTTTGTTTAGTAAAATTTGATCATGACCTAGAAAGAATTAGGACTGTCCGCTGCTTTTTCTGAACCTATTAATAAACTTTCTGGTATGAACATAGGGAAATACATGCATTCATAGCAAAACAGCTACAAAATTCCCTCTCTAATAGAAGGCATTGTGTAATGAGCACAATCAATTAAGAGCATCAGAGGTCTTGCTGCTTTTTTTTTTTATTGTTGGTTACATTATTATTTTTTAAAGATTTATTTATGTATGTATACAAGAGCTGGGGTACAGGCCAGAGGTATGGGGGTGAGGATTCACCAGAGACAGAGTAGGGGAACAGAACAGGCAGAGTGACTGAAATACACTGCTGAGGGGAGCAGGGGTCGAGTCAGGAGAGGTCTGCTGTGCCATGTGGGTAGCTCCCTGGCCGGGGATCGAACTCGTGCTGCAGTGGCTGCAGACAGCTTCATAGGTTGCATCTTAACCCTTTGTACCACCTGGGAGGCCCAGGTCTTGCTGTTAATGAATGTTTTTACACACAAGGAAAACTAGCCTCATCCCCAGGTGCCTTGTAAAACACAGCCTTTTCTCCTGCTCCTTCTACATCCAGAAAGAAAGAGAAATACAAAAGGAAAAAAAAAAAAAGAAACAACACATTAAGAATCATCTGACACCATAGAAAGGAAATACAAGAATCATAGGCGAAAACTGCCTTGTCTGACAGTAGCCATATTAACTATTAAAAATCAAATTCCCCAACTTTTGCAGAGGTTTTGAAATATTACAAGTAGATCATACATTGAAAATCACAGAAGAGACATGCTTATATAAAATATACCTGTTAAGACATCAAATACAATATCACCTTTTCCAGAAAGCAGAAACAAATGAGCCACATGAAACAGAATCAAATGGAGTAAAAATGATGGCCTGCTCAGATATTAATATAAAACACTTTGATGTGTTTTTGAAAAATCAGGTTTTTACATAGATGTTTCTTTAATAATAAGTTGTAGAAATATTCTCTGATAAACTGCTGATCTTGAAGTTAGTTTCTAATTTAATAATCTGCTTGAGTATTTCAGACACTGCTGTGAAAAATCACAAAAGTCCTTTACAAAAGTCCTTTACCCAATGTATTTTTCTATTATTGCTTTAAAGCATTTCAAATGAAGTAACTCCTAAATTTCATTTTAATTATTTAATTTTTCCTAATTTCCTTCATCAAGATTTTGTACTGATATTTATCTGTCTGAGGAGACATTTATTTCTTTATTTTATCTGATGGAAAGCTTTTGAGGATAGAATAAGCTTACCTGGAAGTTTTTTTCTTGGAGTATTTTGAATATGTCAGTACACTCTCTTTTTTATTGTAGTGTTTCTTCAGAGAAATCTGAAGTTAGCTGAATTGGGGCTCCTTAATAGATTATCTTATTGTTTCTTCCTTATCAGCTTCATTCATTTTCCCTAGTCTTGAACTCTTGGAAGTTTTTCTATTATATGTCTTGTTTTAGGTTTCCTGTTGTTCAAGTAGCTTGGTGGTGTTTTAGTTTTCTATAAACCTATGTTTATATATTTGCATTTATTTCCACTAGGTTAGAAATGTATTTTTTTTTCCTTTTACGTTATTTAGCAATATTGGTGTTTAGGCTGTAGGATTTCCACGAAAATATTTATCTGTGTAAACAACATTTACAACTTTGTCTTTGTACCAGATAAACCAGTATCAGGATACTCAAGCAATACATCATTCTTGTTGCTATAACTGCTATTTCACAATAATTTTTATATATGTTTTTCATACATTTTAAATACTTTTAACAAAACTTTCTTACAAAATTGAGACATATAAAGAATGCATATTTTTGTTTTATAACCCTTCATCTTAAATAGGCTAAATAATAACCATAAATCATTTAGCTACACCCCATTGGCAGACTTTCCTAGATAAAATTCTTTGTACTATGTTGATATATTTTACATTATATGCATTGGCTACATTTTGGACATAAATGGACATATATAATTTATAAGTACTTCAGAACTATGTATTATAAATTTTTTTATTTTTATATGTGACAGGTTTCATATTTTTAAATATTCTGTTTTCTATTCTATATAGTTCTGAATAATCTATAACCTTTTCCCATTTCTAATGCTTAATTAGAATTGTCCACAATTATGATTCATAAGCAATCCATGTTTTGTACTTCTGGAGATATTAGTATTGACAATTCTCTTTTTGTTAAGAAGTTATGTCAGAGGACCTCCCTAGTGGCCCAGGGGTAAAAATCTCAGTGCTATCAAGCAATCACCAGCCCCTGAGGCATGAGTTCGATCCCTGGCCAGGTATCTAACACACATAGTACAGCAGACCTTTCCTGTCTTGCCCGCTGCTCCCTCAGCAGTGTGTTTCAGTAGATCTGCCTGTTCTGCTCCCCACTCTGTGTCTGGTGAATCCTCTCACACACACCCCACACACTGACCTGCACCCCACTTCTTGTATGCATAAATAAATAAAAATAAACCTTTTAAAAAAGAAGTTATATCATATTATGATAATCAAAGTTATATCATATTCTGATTATCATATCATATATGATAATCAAGTTATATCATATTATGATAATCAAAGTATATTGAATACCTGTTTCTATATGAGGTTTACTTTGTTTTGTGATTCCCCAAACCTCCCATCATTATCAAACTATTATTGCTGTGAGCTATTGTTGAATCTTTTGACTTATACTCATGTTGTTGAGAATCCTATTAAATTACTCCTCTGTAGTCAAGTTTTTTTTTTTATAAGTCCATAACAGAAACTCTGAAACCTAATTACGAGAACCTAATAACAGTAATGAGCTAACTAACACCAGATATTATTTCTCAAGATAGAAAGCCCAGGGCCTCCCTGATGGCCTAAGGGTTAAGTCTCAGCACTATCACAGCTACAGCCTGAGTTCGATGCCCAGTCAGGGAGCTAACCCACATATGGCACAGAAGGTCTCTCCTGTCTTACCTGCTGCTCCCCTAGCAATGTATTTCAGTAAATTGTCTGCTCTGATACCCACTCTATCTCTGGTGAATCCTCTCACCCCCTCCCTTACCCCATACCCCATTTCTTCTATGCAAAAATAAATTTTAAAAAATGATAGAAAGCCCAAGCCATTCATTTTAGTACAAGACTAAGACTGGACCTATAGTTAGACATACAAAAGTCTTTACCTAAAGTCTGTTGTAGTTATTCCTGTCTTTATTTCCAGAGAACTTTCATTTTGTGGTTTTAAAACATGTTCCACACCAAAATTGAGTCTTCCCCTTAGATTTATGAATTAGGAAGCAAATAGCCTTCCACAATCTATGATAATTTTTGAAATTCTTTAGTAAGTATAATGAAGAAATATTTTTATGATTTATGTTATTAGTGTTTAAAAAGATAAAAAATTGAATATAAACACTAAAAAGATAAAAAAAATTGAATATAGAGCTATGTAAATCATCATTAATATCGTGTATAATTTTTAATGCTTATTATTTCTTTCTCTAGGTCTGAAATCCAAAAGCATTACTGATTTGGTAAAGGACATTGTAGTGGAACAATTTAAAGTTTTTCAAAATGACATGCAAGAGACTGTAGCACAGCTCTTCAAGACTGTGTCACGTCTATCAGAGGACCTTGAGAACACCAGACAAGTAATTAAACAAGTTAATGAATCTGTGGTTTCAATAGCAGCCCAGCAAAAATCTACTTCAATGCAAAATATTAGACCCACTTTGACTGACATTATAGATCTAAAAAATCAAATTGTGAATCTAAGGCAAGAAATGACTTTTACATGTGAGAAGCCTATTAAAGAACTAGAAGCAAAGCAGACTCATCTATCAGGTGCTCTAGCACAGGAACACTCAAGAAGCATTCTATATTACGAATCCCTCAACAGGACGCTTTCTAAAATGAAGGAAGTACATGAGAAGATTTTATCAACAGAACAAGTATCAGACCATGGGATTGTTCCAGCTCCTGAATCAGTTAGCAATAATGTCACTGAGTACCTGTCTACTCTACAGGAGAATGTAAAGAAGCAGGCTTTGATGCTGCTGCAAGTATTTGATGATTTACACATCCAAGACAGCAAGATTAACAATCTTTCTATTGCTTTGGAGATGGAAAAAGCATATGTCAGGGGTGAATGTGAAGACATGCTATCCAAATGCAGAAAAGACTTTAAATTTCAAATTAAAGACACAGAAGAGAATTTGCAAATTTTAAACCAAACTTTGGCTGAGTTTCTCTTTCCAATGGACAATAAGATGGACAAAATGAGTGAGCAACTTAATGATATAACTTATGATATGGAGATACTTCAACCCTTGCTTGAGCAAGGAGCATCAATTAGAAACACCTTGACTTCTGAACAACTGAAGGAAGAAGTAGCTACAAAGAAAAAGGTGGAGACTCTAACTAGTGCTGTGAATAATCTAAATTTTCTTATCAAAGAACTTACAAAAAGACACAATTTACTTAAAAATGAAGTACAGAGTCGTGCTGACATCTTAGATAGACGTATCAATGAATATGCCGTTGAAATGGAAGATGGCCTAAATAAGACAATGACAATTATAAATAATGCCATTGATTTCATTCAAGATAACTACATACTAAAAGAGACATTAAGCACAATAATGTATAATCCCATGGTCCATCAGAAATGCACCCAAAATATGGAAACAATTTTGACATTTATTTCTCAGTTCCAGCGTTTGAATGATTCTATTCAAATTTTAGTCAATGACAATCAGAGATATAACTTTGTTTTGCAAGTTGCCAAGGCCCTTGCAAACATTTCTAAAGATGAGAAACTAAGTCAGTCCAACTTTCTAAAGATTTATCAAGCATTCAATGAAACCACTTCCCAAGTGATGCAACACCAGCTAAACATGAGTTATTTGGAGGAAAAACTACTTTCAGCCACAAAAACTTCAAAAGATTTTGAAACTCGGTTGCAAGACATTGAATCCAAAATGACCAAGACACTCTTACCTTATTATGTTTCACTGAAAAAAGGAAGTGTGGCTACAAATGAGAGAGATCAGGCTCTTCAACTGCAAGTATTAAATTCCAGATTCAAGGCACTGGAAGCAAAATCCATCCATCTTTCAATTAACTTCTCTTTGTTTAACAAAACTCTCCATGAAGCTTTAGCAGTGTGTCATAATGCTTCTGCTAGAATATTAGACCTTAATGCTACCATACCTAAGTGGATAAAAGACACCCAACCAGATATTGAACTTCTTCAGAAAGGTCTGACAGAATTTGTGGAATCAGCAATTGAAATAAAAACTCAAGTTGTCCTGTCTAATTTAACTTCATATATAAATCGGTCATTGTCTAGTAGTCCTGCAAATGTCAAGTCTCAAAAACAAGTAAAACAGTTGCTGAAGAAACCTAATTCTCTTAAAAAACCAACAGAGTTTCTTACCACCATCCAAATAGGTCGGACCCAAAGAAACACAGAAAATGTTTTATTTCCTGGTAAGTTATTGCTAAAGTATATTTTTTTAATCTCTTTTTATTTCAATGATATTTAGTAGATTTGTACAGGTTAACAAGACCATAAAATAAAAGATGCTTGCTAGAACTTTGATATACAGTCAAATATTGAGAAATCACTAATAGATTATTTTAATCTAATTTTATTGTATGAAATTAGACATCAGTGCAAACAACTTCTTATAAATGTCTGCTATATGATTGTTAGCATTTTTCTGACAATCAAATATGAAACAATCAAATTTGCCACTATAGAACATTTTTCTTTGCTTTGGATATTAATATTCTATTAAACAAATAGCTCCTTTATGCAAAAGACAAGACTGTGTTTTATACCTCTTAGCATTACCTTGCAAAATGTTCAGTATACAATATGAACACAGTAAATATATGTTGAATAGCTATCTAACTGAATGGATGCAGAAATTAAATTGGGGTAGAATACACAAGGGCTAAATGTCTTAGTTTATCCAAGTGGCAATAAAACACATTGACAGACACAAACATGGACTAGGTAGCTTGTGAAAAACAGAAATTTATTTTGGCATGTTTCTAGATACTTAATGTCTAAGATCAAGTAGCTACATGGTTATATTCTGGTGTGACTATAACCCCTCTTCCTCATTCATAACCAGCAACTACTCTGTGTCCTCTCATGTAGAAAGGGTGAAGGATTTCTCTGGGGAATCCTTTTTTTTTTTTTTTAAAGAAAACTAATTCCATTCATGATTACTCAAATTTCATAATAGAAACACTTCCCAAAGTCTTTCCCTCCTATACACATTCAGATTAGACATGATTTTGTAATGGATGGATTTTGAAAATTGGCAGCGTGTTTGGATGTGGTAAGATATGTATCTCAGAAGTGTGACTCTAGCACAAGTGTGTAGTATGGCTGCAGAGAATTAAGTTAGAGGTACCAATTCAGATGTTACTGAGTGGATATGGTCAAGAGCAGTGTGAGCCAGGGATAAGAAAGAGGTAACTGACAGAGACAGATGTGAGAAATGCTGTGAAAGTTAAATTAGAAACAGAAGGATGGTGAGGAAAGGAATGACCCGAGGCACCACAAATGATGGTTCTGGCCCCTGTTGTTTAGTACATGTCTGTGTAGCCTGCAAAGGTTTGCTTCTCGGGTCTCAGTTTCTTCCTTTTGGGTGTTAAGTTTGTGACAAATATTTTGCAGAGCTCACTAATATAAATATGTTGCAGACTGCATACTGTAGGGAAAAGAAAAATATGGCTGTTTGTGAACAGCCTGAATGGTGCCATTAGGGAAAGGGAGAAACTTAGAATATTCTGAGGTTTTGCATTTGGGAAACGAGAGGGATTAACAGATATAAACATGAGTAGGAGCATAAACTAGGAGGAAAGAAGAACTCAGTGTGGTACTGTAAACTACTTAATAGTCCCTCTGTATGAAAGAAGTATTTTATGAGTTTGTTTGGCGTGAGTAATATGAAATGATCATTTCACAATGGAAAGAATAGCTGATCATTACTAAGAGAAATAGTAGTATTGCTTTCATGTGAATCTGTTGTTAAATTATATGCCCATTGGATAAATACCGTAATTTTTAATTCCAAAAGTGTGATCATTATCCTGTCATTATGAGTCCTCTTATTTTATCTCTGAATGTTTTCATAATGTTGAAGATTACAGAAAAAAGGGAAGTTAAATTGTTTTTTGATAATTTGCTATATTTATTTGTTACTACCTCCAAATTAATCTGATCCAGGAACACTAATCTTGCCCAGTGAGATTAAAGAACAAACCATCTCCAGGAGGAAGGTAGTTTTTTAATATGAGGTATTCTTATAATGATTTTAGGAAAATAAAATCATTCTACTTTTAAAATCAATCCATTCTACTTCAATCCTCAGTCTCCCTGTGGACACAGAAAATGAGTTTCAGTTAACTTCCACAGAATATGTGATCACACTGCAGGCAAACCATACAATTTTTTTCTTAAACCAAAAAAAAAAAATACCTGTCTATACATAACTAAGTGTAATTAACTACCTCAAATTAATTGAGACAAAATGTTTAATAAGATGAAAAACTTACAAATTTTGTGGTAAAAAGAATGCATGTTAGAAACATAAAATTGTATTAAGATATTTACACAGCAGCTGTTTCCATATTAGGCTTATGAGCTCATTATTAGCTCAGTTCTAACTTTTTTCAATGAAAACTTATAAAATTGTCTCTGTTCCTTTACTTACCGTACACGGAAAATTTTTATAGACCTATCTACCCAAATTAAAAATTAATTGAAAGGTTTTTTTTTTAATCTCAGCAAGGATAACCAATAATAATGTCTGGGCAATAAGGATATATTGGCTTATGTTCGTGTGTGGAGTGTATATTCACTTTATGCAGGACCAGCATAAAAATGTGTGAGCTCCTCTAAGCAGGTGCATAGATATGAAGCTCATTAAGCCAGTGCTGCTGCTTCTATGCAGGAGAGAACTGCTGGCCTTTCCTGGATGGCTGAACAGTGAAGTCTGTGCAGGTGACAAAAACAATGGGTTGAAGCTAAGTTCTCTGTAAGAATAAACCAATTAAAAATTAAAATATTTCAGTTGGCGAGGGGGGGGGGCGGAGCAACATGGCGGCGAGGAGAAGCTGCGAGTAAGATCTCCCATTAAAAAAAGTTAATAGGGAGGAAAAGCGGCAGGTCCCAGTGAGAACTGGGACACGGAAGATAAACGGGTGACGCCAGCGAACTGCCCGAAGAAGAAAGTGGCCATAAAAGAGGACTAGAAGGGAGGGAAGCGCAGAACCCTGCTCCCCTCCCCCGCCCACAGAGGCGGCACTCTCCGACCGGCAGAGAGGAGGAAACAACAAACCAAAACGACCCACAAGAACAAACGACGCAGCAAGCGGGACTGGGAGTGGAAAGGAACTATTGCAGCCACCACACCCCGTGAACGGGAGCTGTGGAGAACCCCGCAGGATCCGCAGCAGAGGTGAGCGAACGGCTCCGGGCGCCATTGAAGAGAGACCCCGCCCCCGGGGAGGAGACCAGCACCAGCACACAGCCCCAGGCCGCCCAGTAAGCTTGTGCGGAAAGGCGGCGCGCTGGAAAAACAGGCGCGGATCGCGGTCAGGATTGCGCGGAACAGCGGCGCGCTGGAAAACCAAGGGCGGATCGGAATCGGGATCGCGCGCGGAAAAGCAGTGCAGTTGAAAAGCAAACGCGGATCCAGACCGCAACTGCCCAGGTCCCTGCGCCTGCGACCTAGGCTCGAGGGGAGACGCGTGGAGGCCCTCACTGAGTGAGCAGGCCCAGGCGCCCAGGCACGGGAGCGGGATTCAAAAGGCGCCATTCCCGCGCCACTGAACTGGGCTACAGCCTGAGTCCTGGAACTGAGGGCTTTGGAACTGACACCCGGGGCACGAAACTAGGGGCGTGGGTTCCCCACGACGGTGGGGCACAAGGCAGACACAGCACCCCAAAGCCGTTGAGGTTTACCCTACCATTCCCGCTCTATTCCCTGTCCCACGGGGTGGAAAATCAGCTCCCCAAGGGCTCCAGGAGAGATCTCTGGCGCCACCTAGCGACTTGAAGCCAGCAGAGGCACCTAGAGGAGCCAGTGGCCAGCTGGGGAGTTAGCCCACGCCGGGCCCCTTCCGACCAGTAGTCTGAGCCCACAGGGGGAGCGAGCACCCACAGCCGGGGCAGACCAGGCGCGCAGAAGAGTGTGCCTGAGGCCGGACGCGCAGGGAGTGTGTCCACATCACCATCTTAGAACAGGGACATTTCTTCAGTAAAGACTACCTGCAGAAGGCTTCCTCAGGAGCCAGAGGTGAGCGGGGGAAGTTCGCCCACGCCAGACCCCCTCTGGCCTGCAGTCCAAGCCCAGAGGGGGAGCAGGAACCCACCGCCGGGGCAGACCAGGCGCACAGGGGAGTGTGTCCCCACATCGGCATTTTAGAACAGGGACCTTTCTCCAGTAAAGACTGCTTGAAGCTGACAGATGACTCCTGGAGGAACCAGAGGAGAGCAGAGAAGCTCACCCAAGATGCCGGCCAGTCCCAACTACACAGTGTCCCAACGCATACGGCAAATTAGAAAACAGACAATAGGGAGGAGAAGAACCACACGCAACCTAGCAACTCCCCAGGGAAAAAGCACACCACAAAAAGAAAAGCAGCCCCCAGATTGCAACGACAGTAACTTGGAAGAACTTCTGAGCCTTCCAGAAAGAGAATTTAAAATTGCCGTGATTAAAAAACTGACAGAAGTCATAAAGGAAAACAATGATAAGGGAAAAATAATCAACGATCAGAAGAATGCAATTGAGTCCCTAGAGAGGGAAAACAATGGTCAGAAGAAAGAAATTGAGTCCCTAAAGAGGGAAGTAAAAGAAATGCAGGAGATCAAAGAATTAATGGAAGAACTAAAGAATTCTGGGAAAAGCAATGAAAGCAGAATAGATGAAATGGAAGAACGAATAAGTAATCTTGAAGACACAGAAATAAAAAGAACCAAAACAGAAAAGGAAAGAGAAGTACGAAGGAAAAAGAACGAAGAAAGACTTCGGGAATTATCTGACTCCATGAGGAAAGGAAATATAAGAGTTATAGGAATACCAGAAGGAGAGGAGAGAGATGTAGGAACAGAGAAAATATTCAAAGAGATAATTGAAGAGAACTTCCCAAATGTGAAGAAGGAGCTGAAAATTGATATACAAGAAGCAAGAAGAACACCAAACTTCCACGACGAAAGGAAAAATACAGCAAGACACATAATAGTAAAGCTCCCAAGAATCCAGGACAAGGAAAAAATAATGAAGCTGGCAAGAGGGAAGAAACAGATAACATTCAAAGGAAAGCCAATCAGGCTGACATCAGACTTTCCGAAGAAACACTACGGGCAAGGAGAGAATGGAGGGACATAGTCAACAGACTCCAAGAAAACAGATGCCAACCAAGAATTCTCTATCCCGCAAAGTTCTCCTTTCTCTTTGAAGAAA